TAATCCTATTATATTTTTCTATCAACTCATTGTGCAACAAAGTGGGCAAAAGCTTGGCATACATGGGCCCTATTCAATACAGCAGTAATGTCTCATTACACACTGAGAGGTTTACCCAATGTTGCTGGACAGTTTGGTGTTGCGGCAGTAACTGGATATTTTCACTCCATAGCTTCTGCTGCACATGTCAAAGGAGTGGATGATAGTTTGCAGGTAACACTTTGAAGCTTAAAATCCTGTCCTACATTAGCGTAGTCAACTACTTCTTGAAAAGTTTCTACTCCAATTGAATGGTTCTAATCTTCCACTACTATTGAACTCGCATAAAAATATCCAATATGAACTTGGGGTCAATTCATTTTGCTCTGTCTAAAGCCACATTCCTTGTTAAAAACAAACTCTCACTTTTCTACATAACTGCATTTGTTGTCATTCTTTACCTGCTTTTTTTGGATTTTGTCTTTAGGAGTTCAAGTATTACTATTATCTTTAATTTTTATCGTGTTAAATGATTATGTCAATATTATTTTGAATTTATTCCTATAGGTGCTACCTTTATCGTCTCAGAAACTTATTATATCTTTCTTATTTTATCCTGTATCATCTTGATTGCAGGATATTTTACGTCTCCTCGCTTTGTGGTTCAACCACGGAGCTACTTCAGAGGTCCAAACGGCGTTGTAGAAAGGATTCTCACTTGTTAATATCAACACGTGGTTGGTTGTTTTACCTCAGATTATTGCGAGGATACTTTTTAATAACCATGCTGTCAGGGAATTAATACAATCGCTGTTAGTACGGATTGGCCAAAGTCATCCGCAAGTTTGTTTATATGTGATACTTTTGTGTCATGCACCTCGACTCCTCTGATTGGTGAAAATGGAAATGTTATTAGTGAGACACTTGTTGCATGTTTGTTTTGACTTTAAAAAAATTATTTATAAATGTTGGAATATTAATCAGCCTTCACCAACAAACCAGACGTGCACCAGCAAACCAGCAACTCAGTTCAATAGCCTGTTCTCCAGTTAACAAAGCTCCAGTTCACCAGCAGTTACCAGCCTCTCCAGTTAACTCAAACCATCTCTCCAGTGCAGCAGTTCACTCCAGTCATCTCTCCAGTTCAACAGCATCAGCACAGCACGAGTTCAACAGCATCTCCTTCTTCCAGTTTATTCTAGCTTATTCTATATACTTCCTTAGTTTGTTCTGTTGTTAGTTTGTTAGATAAATTGGTTAGTATTTTCTCTANGTTGGTTAACTTTTTCTTCTATAAATAGAGTTCTTATGCATTGTAATTCTCAAGCATGAATGAATGATAGTTCATCAGCTTCCCTGTTGTTCAATGGCAAGCCTATCCTTTATTTCTCTGTTCTGTTATTTTCATTTTTGTTCAGTTCATTATTTCCAGCTTAAATCTCAGATCATTCCTTGATTTTAAGAATAAATCTACTTGTAATTAAATTTTAAAATATTTATTTCGATGGTCAAAGTTGAAAATAGGCTACTTTAAAACTAATCTCTACCTTATTATCAAAATAAGTAACTACTTTACATATAAGGAAAAAGTAACATATTTCAAATGTGTTTGGTATCAGAAATTGACTTGAAAGCTTAGCAAAATGTGCTCTTACATACATAGGACACTCTCCTGAAACAAGAAGTATGAGAAAGTTTTAATCAATGTTGTCAGAACCTGGACTAGCCCGGCCCGTTGCCGGTTCCAAAGAATTTATATATAAATAAATTTTTATAGCCTTTCCTTCTCTCATTGCAATTGATAAATTTCGTTGTTGAATAAGTGCAATCATACATGTGTTGTAAAATTGCACCGTAATGAGGGGGAGGAAGGGAAATACTCCATCAAAACGTTCGCCCACTTTTTTATAATTTGATTGATTAATTTCTCGAGAATGAATATAAGTATTAAAAATTAATATATCCAAAATTTTGTATAAATTTTGAATTTTACACTCACCAATATTATTTATTTAAAAATTTACAACCATTGGCTCAAGCCCAGATCCCTTGCTGAACCTTTTGCCCCTTGACCCACTATATTTTCTAGGTCGATTTCCGAGCCAGTTAAAATATTGGTTTTAATTACATTTCTAATTATACTGTTATTGGTGGAAAAATAGATCTCTGAATGCAGAGCTTTGAAGGAATAATAACCACAGTTGAATTGAAATTGGAATTGAATGGACAACTTCACCATTTTTCAACAATCTTGATTATATAAATTAAATTCGTCCGTGATGGTCAAATCTTTACATTTTTGAAATCTCCATGGAGAAGAGATCCAATATTAGATTTCCTTAATACTTGGTTACACGTTAGTCGTCAAATTTACTTTTAGAGTTGGAGACATAATTTTCCTGAATACATTGACGCAATAGAGAATGTAACGTGATTTTCTTGGCAAAGGCTAATAGTTCACTACCAAAGAACTTATAAGAGAATGGTAAAGCTATGGTTATGTCTGATTGTAATGCATTCAGTCTCTTGATCTGAGAGAGTTACATAATTGTTAGAGATCATCGAGCATTTTTCTGTAATTAGAGAGTCTTGCAGTAAACCTTGAAGATCATGCAGAATGAAGCCTTAATTAATCTTCTGTTTGTATAACTTTCTTTGAGCTGGCAAGGTACTTTTCGTCAATCGTATGACTAAAATAATTTAATTTCCTGTTCAGGCTCTTATGTACCCTCTCCTTGTGGCATGCAAATCTATTAGCAATTTACGCAGAGCTGCAGCTCAGGAAGTGGTTGATAAAGTTAAACGGCATAGTGGTCTACTGGTGGTTCAGGTGAAAAGGACTTACAATGGTGACTCTTATTTTGTTTCATTTGTGCAATAGCTGACTGTTTGGCTTTCATTTTGAAGGCTCATGAGACGTGGCGCCAAGCATTGGAAGAGGCGAGCCGCTTATACTTCGGGGAACATAACATTGAGGGATTGCTTAAGGTATTGGAGCCATTGCATGAAATACTCGAGGAAGGAGCTATGAGGAACGATACTACCATAAAAGAGAAAGCCTTCATTCAGGTTGTCCATCGTTTCCACATTCTCGGACATACATCATCTGTTATAAGCAAAGTGTAGAGGACAATATTTAACGGTGGGTACTAGGTTCTCATGATGTCAATTGCTTTATAGGAATTTGTACACATCAATTGAGAAATATGACTTGATTTCTATGGATTAAGCTGAGAAATATTCTTCATAACCTCCGTTTGATACATGTCACATATGGTACAATATCTATTAATAACCTTCATGTGCTTCAGGCTTACCGCCATGAATTATTGGAGGCCTATGAAAGCTGCATGAAATATCGAAGAACTGGAAAAGATGCAGAAATTAATCAGGTATTTGCGTGAAGAAATTCTGATATGCACTTTTACTTGTTTCGCTAGATTGCAAGTGTCTCGAGATTTTTTGGTTTTTAAGATGAGCTTGCTTAGTAAGAAGAAAGAATTACAGAAAAATTGGGGGCTAGAAGTCATCAATATTAAGTGTGAGAAAACCTCTGATTTCTGATAAAGCTAATTTCTTTATTTTTTTTCTTAACACGAAGATAATTGCTCTTTGCTAATCCTTGTTATTCTCAGAACCCTCAACAAGATCTTCACATTAGCTTCATTGCATTTGCTGTTTGGACATTCCAAAATGTAGCAGGCTACAATGTCTAATACTATCTTGCATCAACACTTTTGACTGCCATAATCAATAATATACCTAACAATATTTGATTGTCTTCTGATGAAGGCAAAATAATAACTCAATTTAATTTCGAGTTTGTTTGTTTTTGACGAATTGCTAGTCTAATTTGAGTGGAAACGGGCAAATGATCACAACTCAGGGCCTTTGGCCCTGAAGCACGTCAAATTTTGGGCAAATTCCATCGTTTAGGCCCTCAATTATGCGTTTTTTCCGTTTATGGTAATTTTTGTTTTGGCAATATCTTAGTCAAACAAACTCGAATTTGATTTCCGTTTGTTAGGGGATGATCCTGATGATTAGGAGAATCAAGATCCGTCATTATCTCAATTTTTTTCATTTTTGAAAAAAAATAATAT